TTCAGAATTGGACATAGAAGCTTCTGGAAATGTTAGTCTTTTTTTTTTTTTTTTTTTTTATTATTATTCATTGCTTTACCCCAGCACCTGCCAATACTGTTTGACATCTATGCCTCAGCGGGTATTCATAGAATGAGTCGTACATATTCTATCAAGAAAAAGTTGAAAGGTTGAAAAAAAGTATGGGACGTAGTTTATTTTACTTTTTGATGTAGTGAGAGCCTTGGGCAGGGAAGGGTGGTATCAGGAGATGGAGTAGGTGGATTCCAGATTGTCCAGAGTAATAAGCTTTCCTAGGAGGTTGAACGTCATAGAAGGATTTAAGGCAAGGCAGTGCGGGGGTGGGTGGGGGTGTCAGTTACTTTCGAAAGTTCATCCGGGCCAGGGTGGTGACTGGATTAAAGTGGACAGAGCTCAAGTAGCTTTGAGGGCAAGAATCTAAACAAGAACTGGTGGGAACCTGAACTGAGGCAGGAATATTGGGGTTGGAGGTGAGGGGGAAGCAAATGCCTGGGCGGCAGATGGAGCCAAGCCTCAGAGAGCTAAGGAAAAAATAGCCAACACACAGGGAGTGGTATGGGAGTTGTTGGGGGAGCAGAGATAATCAGGCTGATGTCACTGCTGGATGCCTTGGAGATGCCAAGGAGATTATGATAAGAAACTGTCCTTAGCTGAAGGGGCAGGGGAAGGAGCAGATGCTGGATTACAGGAGGTTGAAGAATGGTAAGTAAGGAATGAGACAATTTGTGGAAGAGGGAAGGAGAAAGTTGGCATGAGTTGCAGGACACAGGAAAGTGGGGAAAACATATATCCTTGTTTAACATCAATATGTACCATACTTTGTTAATAGAGAGCTAGGTGGTATTGCTTTTTTTTTTTTTTTTTTTAAATAAGTAACGAGTTTGAAGCGCAGTTCCTCGGGCTGTCATAGCCAAGTGTCACAAACTGAATAGCTCAAAGCCCAACGTTAGGGTTTCAACTAGGCCGTGCTCTTTCTGACACCTGTAGGGACATCCTTGCCTCCTCTAGCTTCTGTGGGTTGGTTTTTGGTGAGCCCCTTCCCCTTCCTGGAAAGCATTGTTATCACTCCACTTCTGCTCTGTCCCACCTATTCCCTGTTGTGCTGTTTTCTCCTTTCTGGCTTTCATGTCCAAATTTCCTTCTTTTGTAAGGAAATTGTATACCCGTCATTGGATTATGTGTATTAGACCTCAATAATTATTAGTCATAGTTTCCCCCTTCTCTGTCTTTCCATCACATTCTGGGGGGGGGGGCATTAAAATGAATGATGAAATAAGAATTTTTGGATTATTTACAGTTTTTTATTTCATCTTTTAAATTTTTTTTAAAATTTATTTTTATATTCCTCATACAAATTGCAACCCCTTATTTTGACCCCATTTCCTCTTTTCCCACCCTACCCCCATAGTGTGTCTCTGGTTTATAGTTGTTTGTTGATTGATTTTTTCTTTCTTATAGTTATTCTTTTTCCTGGTCCCTTATTTAGGTTTTCTAGATTGCCTGCTCTGAGTGAGACCATCCAGTATTTTTCATTTTCTTTCTGGCTTATTTCGCTGAGCATGATCCCTTCCAGCTCCATCCATGTTACTGCAAATGCATGTGTTTATCTTTTTTGATTGCTGAGTACTATTCCATGGTGTATATGTACCACATCTTCTTGATCCAGTCATCTATTTTTGGGCATTTGGGTTGGATTATTTACAGTTTTTAGTAATCTGTAGTTTAAAATGTTCCTGTTCCCCAATATTCATGTAATGAATGAGAAATTAGTATCTTTCTCCAGCCAGACTCTTACCTTGGCAATTAATACTATACTCTTCTGAAGATTTAGGAAACAGGATAATGTCTAGAGTAACAATTTTGGTGAAATTTGACTTCCCAGGACTATGGAAGGTGCTGTTGAAAGTGCGGAAGAAACTAACTTTTTGACTTGTATAGAGTCTTATTTATTCTATCTTTTGAGACTGACCTTTGTACCCTCCTTTTTTTACTTTGTAAATCAGTGATTTGGAGTCTAATTCTTTAAAATAAGACCATCTGGTTCAAAATTCTCAAGTTTTTCTTACTGATTTTCGTGAAACCAACCATAATGCATCTTTCACTTCTCATGTTGATGATTTGCTGCCACCTACAGGATAATGTGAAAAAAGTAGAACAAGTACTTTCTGTCTTAGATTTTGAATATACAATCTTAGGGTCATTTTGGAGGTCTCGAAGCCAACTGTAGACTTCGAGATTTCATGACTCCTTTTTCTGTGGCACTTGTTTCTCTGGTATCCTAACTGGATAGTTGAATAGTATCACAATCCCATTAGGTTTTTTTTGGAATTGGCATTTTAGAAAAGCATTGTTAGTTATCAGTTACTGCATTTTCTACTCTAAGTAGATTAGCAAAATAGTGTTGTCAATAAGCAGAAAGTGTTAAGGTATGTTCTAGCACCTGTGGGTTTTTTTGGGGGGGGGCTCTGGGGGATGGTTCTTGTTCTAATTGGGGATCTTCTAGAGTTCTGAGCAGCAAAATGTTAAAATAACAACTTTATGATTGTACGGTCCTTACTCTAATTTCTTATATCATTGCTTCCTGTATGCTCTTCTATACTCAGTCTCATACTCCTGCATCACATAATCTGGTATAGGGATAAATTTGCAGGCATCATGAATCCTCAGTGGTTTCTGATAGTACATATTACAGCACTCGTTCACAGTTTGATTTGGCTAGAGTTGAGGTAAGAGGTGCCAGATAACAGGGAATGAATGGATTCAGTAAGGTCTACTAAGTTACTAAGTTATGGATGATTTTGTCTTGAAAATAACAGAATACTAAAGAATTTAAGCTGGGGGCGGGTGGTGACGTGATAGAGATTTCTGTCATAGAAATAGCACTTAAGCAGTTTTTTGGAACATATTTTAGAGGGACCATCAGAGGTATTTATCATAGATCTTTCCCACTATGGATTGTTCCTATCATGTATTGTCTCTGTTTTGAAGGGCTTAAGTCATGTATTTGCCACTCCAGTGTGTGGTTTTTGAATGTTTTTGTTTATATTGCTTTAATGCCTTTAGCAATTCTATAAACACCTCACAGGTAGGCATTACTTTGGTACTGTTATGCTAGTAATGATTGTTATAATTATGAACTACCATTATGCAGTTAACATACACTAGATTCTAATGTTTTTTTTTTTTACATATATTTTACACATATGTATTTTTATACATTATTGATTGATTGATTTATACTTCTCTTAGGTTTGCCATGGTTGGCTGCTTGTTGAACTGTGTGGTTATTCTTTCTTCTTCTTCTCTGCCTGGCCATTAAGTCCCTCATCTGCTGCCTGGCATCTTGCTTTGGGCAAGATGCCACATCGCTGCTATGGCTGAACCTAGTACTTCTCAGAAATGGATGTGGGGTGGCTGGGAACAGCTGCTATGGTTTTAATGCTCACTGGCAGCAAGAGGTGAAGAGCAGGAAGAGGAGGCGCCATTTATCTTGTTTTCTTTGTCAAAAAAAATCTATTGAAAGAGGAGATTGAAAACCCTAATCTGTGACATGGGAGTGGATGGGCAGAATAGTGACTAGGGTCAGGTGAGTGTGTCCATAGGTACATATCTTGGGTGTAAAAAAGAAAAGAAAGCTCTGTAATAAAGATCAATAATATTGTATGTTAAAGTAAAAATTCAGGAAATCTATGATGAGCAAATTATTAAAATTTTAAATAAAGACACAATCACGAATAGTGCTATGCCAACCAAGCATATTGGGACTTAAGGCAAATTAAAAATCAGCAGTATGAGCTTATTTATTTTATTTTATTTTTTTTTAATAGAGGCATGTTTTATTTATTTATTTGTTTTTGTTTGTTTTGTTTATACATGCACTGGGTACAGTCAGAAGCGCGGGAGGGTGAGAGAATTCACCAGAGCCAGAGCGGGGAGCAGAGCAGCAGCAGAAGGACCGAAGTACATTGCTGAGGGGAGCAGCGGGTGGCAGGAGAGGTCTGCGCGCCATGTGGGACCCTCCTCTGGTGGCCGGGAGCAGCTGGGGATCGAACCGGCGCCGCAGAGGCTGCGGGCAGCTTCGCAACCCAGCGCTCAACCGCTGCGCCACCAGGGAGGCCCAGTATGAGCTTATTTTAAATTTTGGTATTTTGTTCACTGTGGATTCTTTGAATAAAGTTTGACTTTTAAAAAGTATTGCATAAGATATTATGCAATGGAATTTCATATGGAGTGTTTTTCTGTGCCCCTTTAAATTTTGCACCCAATGTTTGGAGCCCTAGCTTTGTGTATGGTTGGTTAGCCAAAAAAAAAAAAACAGGGAGAGATGCTGAGAGGCAGCTTCCTTTCTGAAAAAAGGTGAGTTCTTCCTGGTGGGCCAGTAGTCATGGCTCTTTTCCAGGGGAATGGATGTGACATGGTTGCTCTTAAATAACATGAGAAATCTGCATGGGTGTTGGTGATTTCCCTGATTGTACACATTAGAATTTTTAAAAGGGTACCTGAATGAGATATATATATATATATATATATATATATATATATCTTTTATTTTGTTTTGGGTTTTTTGTTTTGTTTAAAATTTTTTACTTTTTATATCACTGTTCATTTTAAACAATATTTGCTTCCCCTCCCCCTCAGGTGTAGTCCCCATAGAATTCCCTTCACCGATGTACCCGTGCAACATCACCTCAGTCCCCTGTGCTCCTCCTTCTCCCCCCCATCCCTCTCCTCTTCCTCCCTGCAATCTGTTTTTGCTTTGTTGTGTTTTATATCATTATTACTTTTTTAATACATATATATTTTTAAAGATTTATTTGTTTATGCATACAAAAGCTGGGGTACAGGCCAGAGATTTAGGGGGTAAGAAAATTCACCAGAGACAGAGTGGGGAATAGAACAGACAGACTGACTGAAATACACTGCTGAAGGGAGCAGCTCGTGGGGCAGGAGAGGTCTGCACCGTGTAGGTTGCTCCCTGGCTGGCTGGGAATCAAACTCGTGCTGCAGAGGCTTCGAATTGCTTCATAGTGTGTTGCTTAACCCTTGGGCCACCAGGAGGCCCTAATAAATTTTTTAAAACTAAAAATTGTTTCCTACCTTCATTAACTAATGGAAAGCAATAGAATAAAATGTCCTTAGGCATTTAGTTTGTTCATTGATGTTGTTAAATATTGGATATGATTACCCGAGGAAGCTGAAGATATTTGCTAACACCTCTCCTTGACTAGTGCAAATTATTAGTCCTGCTAATTTCCTAGTTTAGTACTTAAAGCCTTGGCAAGATCCCATTCTTGGCTCTTACCTCTTCGGCTTTGTAATAACTATATTGTGACAGTTAATGAACAGAAGTTGAGCAAATGCATTGTTGTTCTAATTCATATTTTGATCATTTGGTGTCTTTTAGTGATTCACTCATACTTTTGTCCTTTATTGGGAGAAGTAAATCATTTGAAGGTGCAGAAAGGTGACATGCACATTGTGGACTTGGGTAGTGAGTCACCATCGAGCAGAAGTGTCACAGCTCTGGGGTCTCAGCAGTAGTGTTACAACAAAGGTTTATTCATGGCTTCAACCACTGTGGAGGGGTGTGTGTGTGTGTGTGTGTGTGTGTGGAGAGAGAGAGAGAGAGAGAGAGAGAGAGAAGAGAAAGGTGGATTGTAGGAGTAGTGAGATGAATATCCAAGGAACTCAGCAGGGAGCATGCTTTTATAGGCAAAAGAGACTGAGGGCTATGTCAGCTTCATGCAAATGGAAATTTTCAGTCAGTGCAATTCTGATTGGTGGAAGTCAAGCAGTGATTGGCCAGATTTCACCCGTGTGTGTTGCCAGTGTGGTTTCATTTCTTCTCAGCTGTGGAAGGGTCTGCACCTGCCCCAGCACACTGGGATGCCTGGGCCCTGACTCTGTACAGCCTCCTGGCTCTGATTGTCACCCAGGCTCAGGGTGGGTCCATGTTCATTTTTCTTCTTTCATTTCATGTCACTTCATTCTAATTGACTTTATTCTGGGGTATTGGAGGAACCTTTACCTTGCCTAATTTACAGATTTTTTTTTTTTAATTCCCAATAAGGTCTACTCAGAACAGGCCCAGTACCTGAGGAAGGAGAAGATGTTGCTGCTACCATCAGTACTTCAGAGACCCTGTCCGAGGAGGAGCAAGAAGATCTAAGAAGAGAACTTGCAAAGGTAAAGTAGCTTTTTTTTTTTTTTTTTTTTTATGGAACTTCAAGTTTTGCACTCATATTGTTTGTGTTTCTAAACTACATGGTGACAATAGTCAATTCAGGTGAGAGGAAGCAACGGTGTTCCTTAGAGTTCTTGAGTGGGGAGAGGACGTAAAAAAGCATCACATCAGTTCTTATATGAGGAAAGGTAAATGTAAAGTCGAGATGAAAAGTAGGGTGTGATCCTAGGGATTTACCCAAAGGACACAAAAACATCAATTCCAAAGAGCACCTGCACCCCTATGTTTATAAAGCAGCACTGTTTACAATAGCTAAGCTTTGGAAACAACCCAAATGCCCAAAAATAGATGACTGGATCAAGAAGATGTGGTACATATACACCATGGAATATTACTCAGCATTCAAAAAAGATAAACACATGCAATTTGCAGCAACATGGATGGCGCTGGAAGGGATCATGCTCAGCGAAATAAGCCAGAAAGAAAAATAAAAATACCAGATGGTCTTACTCATAGCAGGAATCTAGAAAACTTAAATAAGGGACCAGGAAAAAGAATAACTATAAGAAAGTAAAAATCAAAATCAACAAACTATGAACCAGAGACACTCTATGGGGGGTGGGGGGCGGGGAGAGGAGGGATTGGGGTCAAAATAAGGGGGTTGCAATTGTATGGGGAATATAAAAATAAATTTATAATAAAAAAAAGAAAAAGTGGGGTGTGAAGTAGGAGATGGATAGGAGTACCTGACAGTATCTTTTCAGGGACCTCACTAAGCCCATGCACTTGGCTTTTCAGCTGCATTATTGACTTTGTCTGCCCTTCATTCTTGGGGCTATAGGCACCTCTTTGAACCTTCTTTCCCTCCCTCTTGCCCTCTGTTGCTTTCTTAAAAGTAACCATTTTAAAGTGTACAACTCACTGGCACTTAGCACATAATATTGTGCAGCTATCAGCTCTGACCACTCCAACATTTTTATCACTTCCAAAGGAGTCCCTATACTCATTAAGCTGCCATTCCTTCATCTCTCCTCTTTCTCTCTCTAGCAACAACTAATCTGCTGTCTTTATCTAGTTCATATATATGGAATCATACAATGTATCTGGCTTTTTTTATTTAGCAAAACGTTTTTGAGCATTTGTAGCATTTATTGGCACCTTACTGCTATCTATGGTTGAATAATATTCCATTGTATGTGTCTATCATATTTTGTTTATCCATTCATCCGTTGATGGACATTTGGATGTTTTTCACCTTTTGACTTTATAGATTCAGAGCTCAGAAATATTTGCATGAAGGTATTTGTTTGAATACCCAGTTTCAAGTCCTTTGGATATATATCTGGAAGTAGAATTGCTGCGTTATGTGGTAATTCAATATTTAACTTTTAGGGGGAACTGCCCAACTGTTTTCCAAGCAGAACATCATTTCACATCTCCATCAGCAATATTTTTACAGCCAACATTTGTTACTTTTTGTCTTTTTTTATAGCCATCCTAGTGAGGGCTGTCTTTTTGTGGTTTTGAGTTGTATTTCCCTAATGATATTGAGCATCTTTTCATATGCATACTAGCCATTTGTATACTTTCTTTGGAGAAATGTCTATTCAGGTTCTTTGCTCAGTTTCTTAAAAAATGAACTCTTTTTGTTAGTGAGTTGTGTAAGGGTTCTTTGTATATTCTGGATAATATATCCTTATCAGATACATGATTTGCAAATATTTTTTCTCATTCCATACACTGCCTTCTCTTTTTTCAATTATCTTAATGTACAAAAGTTCTAAATTTTTATAAAGTCCAATTTATTTTTTCTTGCTTGTTCTTTTGATGTTATATCTAAGAGTCCATTTCTAAAACTTGGATCATGAAGAACTACCCTAATGTTTTCTTCTAAGACTTTGAATTCTTAGATTTAAGCCTTTGATCCATTTTGAGTTAAATATCTTTATATGGTCTGTGGTAGGAATCCAACTTTTTTTTTCATGTGACTATTTAGTTTTTCCAGCACTATTTCTTGAAGAGACTGTCTTCAACAAATGCTCTTGGCATCCTTGTCAGAAATCGGTTGACCATAGATATGTGGGTTTATTTCTGGACTCTCAATGCTGTTAACATAAATCTATTCTCCTTCTGAGATTACCGCACTGTTTTGATCACTATAGCAAATATGGTATAGTAGGTTTGAAGTTGGGAAGTATGAGTTCTTCATTTAAAAACATTTTTTAAAGTTGTTACTTAGGATTCCTTGCAACTTCATACAAATTTAGAATCAGTTTTCCACCCACAAAAAAAAAAAAAAAATGCCAATGGGCTTTTGCTAGGGCTTTCACTGAATCCGAAGATTTGGAGATTTGTTAATATTCTTAACAATATTAACTCTTCCAATACTTGAACATGGAATATCTTTCCTTTTCTTTAGATCCTTTTTCTTGTAGCAGTGTTTTGTAGTTCTCATTGCACTTGTCTTTTATCTCCTTAGTTGCATTTATTCCTAAGTATTTTATTCTTTTCATGTGATTATAAATGAAATTCTCTTAATTTCCTTTCTGGATTGTTCATTGCTATTACACCAATGAATTTTGCATGTTAGGCTTGTATCCTGCAGGTTTGCTAAATTAGTGCTATTAGAATTTTCATTATATAATATCTATCATCTGCAACTGAAGGTAGTTTTACTCTTCCTTTCCATTTTAGATGCATTTAAATTATTTTCTTCCCTATTGCTCTAACTGAAATATCCAGTATGATGTTAAATAGCAGTGGTGACAATGGGTATCTTTGTTTTGTTCCTCAACTTAGTTGGCAAGCTTTCAGTCTTTTTGGCATTGAGAATGATTTTAACTTTCATTTTCCAGAAAGGCACTTACTGCATATTGAAGGAATTCCCTTCCATTCCTAGTTTGTTCAATGTTTTTATCATGAAAAGGTGTTGGGTCTTATCATATGTTTTTCTGTACCTTGTTGAGGTGATCATGCTTTTGTTTCCCTTCATTCTCCTAACATGGTATATTACATCGATTTTCATGTTAATCATCTTTCATCGCTGGGATAAATCTCACTTAGGCATGATGTATAATCCTTTGACTATGCTGCTGGATTTGGTTTGCTAGTATTTTTGCATTTATGTGCTTGAGAGAGATTGGCCTGCTGTTTTCTTTCTCTGGCTTTTGTGTGTGGGTCTCTTAGGAATTTGGAAGTATTCCATTCTCTTGTATTTAGTGGAAGAGCTTGAAGAGTATTGGCATTAATTCTTTGAATGTTTGGTTAGAAATTTACCAATGAAGCCATCTGGCCTTGACTTTGTTGGGAGATTTTTGATTACTGATTTAATATTTTTAATATGTTACAGTTTTATTTAGATTTTCTATTTCTTCTAGGGCCACTGTTGGTCAGTTGTGAGTTTCTAGGAACATGTCCATTTTATCTGGTCTGTTTAGTTTGTTGGCATACAGTGTTCATAGTATTTCTTATAATCCTTTTTGTTTGTATAAGGTTGGTATTAATGTCACTATTTCATTTCTGGTTCTAGTTATTTGCATTTTTCCCTCTGTCAGTCTAGCTGGAGTTTTGTCAATTTTGTTGCTATTTAAAAAACTAGCTGTCAGCTTCATTGATTTTTCTCCATTGCTTTTCTATTCTTTGTTTCCCTGTGTCTTTCATTATTTCCTTCTTTTTTTCAGTTGTTAGTTTGCTATTTTTGTAGTTCCTTAAGGTATAGAGTTAGGTTATTAATTTGAGGTCTTTTTTAGTATTAGCATTTACAGGTGTAAATTTCCCTCTATGCTTACTTTCATCACTTTCCATAAATTTTAATGTTATGTTTTTATTTCTCAAAGCTTTTCTTTAATTTGTGATTTTTCTTTGGCCCATTGATGGTTTAAGTGTGTATTGTTTACTTTTTACAAATTTATTAATTTTCATGTTTCCCCTTTATTTTGGTTTCTACATTCATTCCATTGTGACTGCAGAAGCTGCTTTATACAATATTAAACTTACCGAGAATTGTTTTGTTGCTTAACATTTGCTTCTTCTTGGAGAATTTTCAATGTACATTTGAGAAGAATGTATATTCTCCTGTTTTGTGGTGGTGTGTCTGTTAGATCCTGTTGGTTTATAGTGCTATTTTAGTCCTCTCTTTACTTGATGACCTTCTACCTGTTCTGTCCACTTCTTTACATACAGTTTTTATAAATGTGGTGAGTATAAGATGGATAAGGCTGGTTGGTGATAGTCCTGTAGAGAGTAAGAATGAAAAACACTTATTTTAATGCATGCATACTGTTATTACTTTAGAAACAAAATTTTTTCAAGTTATATTTTTTTCAAAGTTACATGTTTTATACTGCTATTATATAGCAGTATAATGCTGAAGAAAATTAAAATCACTGAGAGTGAAAGTTTTAGTTTCCAAACTTTTTAATGTATGTATCCCTCTGACATATTTTTATATTGTAAGAAGATATTAAAATATACATTTATTAATTTTCCCCATGTAACTAAATTTGAATGCTTTTTTCATGCCAATAAGTAATTTTTTATAATCTTAAATTTCTTTTTAAAATTGAGTTAACATTTGTTTACAAAACTGTAGAGATTCCAGGAATATGTTTTCCACCTCAGCACTGCCTGTATCTCACCATGTCCACCAAATGTCCAGTCACCAATTTATTTTCCCACCAGCAGGCACACCCTTGGCAACACTTTTTGACTGCTTGATATTAGCCATTCTAACCGGTATCCATCTACCAGTCACCATCTACCACCAAACAATCAGCCCACTGTACCCATCTCTTCCATCCTCTTCCCCTCTGGTAACCACCATTTTGTTGTCAGAGACTGGGGTTTTCATGTTTTGTTTGTTCGTTTGCTTTTTTCTCCCTTTATAATCCATCAGTGATTGAAATCACACAGCATTTGTCTCTCTCCTTCTGACTTATTTCACTTCGCATATTCTCCTCAAAGTCCATCCATATTGTCACCATGGCAAGATTTCACCTTTTTT